GTAACAATCGGGCCCGCGGACCCGCCCCTTCTCTCTGGCTTCCCGGCTCACCACGCGCAGCCTCCACCTCCGCCTGCCCGATCCTAGGGAGGGCCTCCCTGCCCCGGGGGGCCTCAGATACCCACGGAGTCACTCCAGCTCTGGCAGCTCTGGGACAAACGCGGGTAAAGAGGGCTGTGCGGTCCGCCCAAGCCTTGGGCAGGGGAGGCGGAGGGTGGAGGGGACTGTGCAGCTGTCCCTGGACCGGAAGGGGGCTCTTGCAGGTCTTACTGACTCCCAGCCGGATGGGCCGGCCTGGCACTGCCTCCACTGACTTGAGAACTCCAGCTCTTATCTGTTGCTAAGTGTACGGGAGCTACCCTTAGCTGAGCTGGGATCACAACTGTTGTCTGTGTGCATCCTGGAGAGGAGGGCCGAAAGTCTGAGTCCTGGCTCTGCCTTTCTGTTTCTGTGCTTTGTGCGTCTCCCCGCCCCCACCCCCCCCACCCCCGTGAAGTGGAAATGATTGAAGGAGCCCGAGTTAATGCACTGAAATGCTAGTGACTGAAGCACATTGAACATGGGAGCTGCTACCAGTAGTAGCTCACTTAATCTTTCAAACAGCGCTGTGCTGTGAGATAGGTGCCTTCCCATTGTAGGGAAGAGAAATCAGGTGATCAGAATGGGGCAGAGCAGTCCGCTGGATGACTTAGCTAAGCCGGTTCTCACCAGTTGTTGATGGCAGAGCACTAGTCACAAGACCTGTAAGGCCCCTCTAAATCTAAACTGTCTCCCCCAACAGATGGAGGAACAAGGTCCAGAAAAGGTCACTGGTTAAGTTACAGGCAGAGCAGGGCTGGGCCTGGACCAGAGCCCTTTCCACCATGCACTAGCCTGGAGACACGCTAACCTCCAACACCACTCTCTCCGTGCACCCGCTAGGTTTGTCACACGAAGGGCAGAGCTAGCTGGGGAGAAGGAAGCTGCGTCCCTCGAACAAAGGGCACGACGACCAAGCCTGCAGTTTGCACTGGGGCGGTTGGGGCTGCTTCCTGGGCGTTCTGAAATGACTTGCCTTTCTCCTCATTTATTTTAAGCCCTAGGCACTTTTCATACCACGATTTAATCTTCTTTAGCAGCCTGGAAAAATACAAATCAATTAAAGCCTAAAACCTATTGGGTAATCACTTTCCCCCCCCTCTCCTCCCCCAGATGGCACCCTGCCCCTTTCATCCCCACTAATTTGACTGCAGTGGGCCTCGTTGAAGGGATGATCACTTTGGATAGCTTATTACAGCTCCTCTCATGAAGTGCCTGGCATGCATGTCACAAGTTGCTAGGATCAAGAACCGAGTCAGTTTTGCTCTCAGGGCTCTTGGGGCCACGGACTGAGGTAGCACTGTATCCTTGGAGAGCTGGGCAGTGCCAGGAAGCCCAGGGGGGTGGCAGGGAGCCAGGCACACAGGGCAGCTCCCTGGATGCGGGCCCCCTGCTCTGAGATGGGGAAGAGGGAGAGTCTGCTGGGCATGGAAGCAAGGCCTAAGAGTCTAGCCAGGGGGTGAGACCTGGAAGGGGCCAGTCTGATGTCAGGGGGGTTGTCTCTGAGGACAATCACTCACAGGAGGACCGGGAGGTACTCCCAGACCATAGTTGAGCTGAAGGAGTCCTGGCCTGCCCGATACTAGCTTCATGTGCATCAGCTGCATCACTCGTCATGGGGCAAACGTCGTACGGGTCCAGGGCTGTGTGAGGACGCGAGGTGAGGCGTGCCCAGCATTTACCTCCAGCCCCAGCAGGTGGCCACTGTTCTCAAGAGGACTGGGAGAGCCGCCCGTCTTCAGGCCAGAGCACGGCTCTAGCTTGCCCTGCACCGTGTCTGCTGCCCTCCGAATCTCCTCTGGCCAACTCTGTGCCCTTCGCGCCCCCACTTGCCCGCCCTGTTTTGTCTAGGCATTGCCCTTCTCTAATAAGCCACTTGTTCACTCTATTCCTGCCTGCCTCCTGATGTAGAAGTGTAGTTCCTCAGGCAGGGGACCCTGCACGCTCCACCCAGTGCCCAGGCCGGCACCCGAGCAGCGTGGGCGCATACCAGCTCTCTGGGCTGCAGGAAGGAGCAGTGTGGCAGAGCCAGGAATGTGGGTACCCATTGTCAGGGTCAAGAGAGCTGTTGTGATCACACAGTGCACAGGATGGCAGGATGCCACAGCACAGATGGCGTGGACCTGTGAGACCTTCAGCGGCTCTTCCACTTGGCCCGACCCCCGGGTCCCTGGGCCTGTCCTGTCCACTGTCTCTGCATCTGCCCATAACAGCCCTGCCAGCCCACCCTAATCTAGCATGGGCTCCCACCCCTGCCGTACACCGGCTCCACCTCTAGCCACCCTTGGAGCCCTCAGCAGCCCTGCTCCTCAGGCCCTGTGCGTCCGTGCCACGGCACCCTGCCATCTTGTGCACTGTTCGATCACAGCAGCTCTCTTGACCTGGAGGATGGGTGCCCACATTCTGGGCTCTGAGCCCACGCCTGTCACCTCTGATGGGTGCCCACATTCTGGGCTCTGAGCCCTGGCCTGTCACCTTTCCTCTCTGTAGCCCTCACCCCAAGGCTGGGAAGCTCATGCTTTCGTCTCCTTAGGACATGTTGGTATGGGGCTCAGAGAGGACCAGCATCTTGCCTGAGGTAAGAAGGGCAGAAGCAGGATTTGAACCCAATACTATGACCCTACGGCCTTCTTTTTTTAAAATTAATTAATTAATTAATTAATTATTATTACTTTTCACATGAGTTTTACCAGAGAAAGACATGGAGAGGGAGGGGGAGAAAGAGGGCAAGTTGCCAGTTTCAGGACTCGAACCGTGGTTGGACATGTGGGAATTCCAGCACCTTAACCACCACGCCACCTGCTGGCCCCGCTAGGGCCTTCTTAATCACCACCAGCCACAGCCACAACTCTGCTCTTCCTGGGGAAAGGCCAGGCAAGAAAGCCATACTGCCCGTCCCTCCCCCCAGAGCTCCCTAGTGCCCCTCTGACCTTTCCGGGTCTCCAACCTCTAACCTCTGCATGATTTGTAAAGCCCAGGGTCCAGGGGAGGGTGTGGCAGGTGAGGCACCAAACCTAAGAGGTGTCTAAGAGTCAATAAATCAGATAAGTGTTTTTCAAAAATCGTAATTAAAACCAAAAATCATCCATTTAGAATAAGATATCAAAAATTTAAATACAGACAGGACCAGTATTACTGATTTTTCCTTTTACCTCAGGCTCTAATATGTCCAAATTTTAAATTCTGATATTTTGTTCTTCGTGGACTTTTATATTAAATTTTTTTAAAAATATTTTTGAGTGCTGAATTTTTTGACACCCCTTAAATTTTGCCCTCCCTCTCCTCCCCCAGTGCCAGCTCTGGAAAGCCAAGTGCCAAAGCGCAAAACCACCTTACCACATGCCTTGGGAGAGGGCTGGGGAGATGGCAGGTGCTCAGTCCACAGTGGGCCACGCCCCTTGCTTTGCAGGAGTGGGGACTGAGAGCCCGAGACCAGGCTAACCCCAGGGCCCAGGCAGCTGCTCTGGGAGGGCTGGCTGACTCCCAGCGGTGGCCGAGGGAGACCTGCTCATTCGCCAGGGCCTTTTCCAAGGCAGATCTCTAAGGCAGCCTCACCACGCTGCTGCTCCTGGGCTTGTGGCCACGTGGCCAGCCCATCTAACCGAAGGGCTTCTTCCCAGCCATCTCTGAGCTCTCTGGTTTGCACACTTGTCATTATGTGGCGGCGACTGCTCTGCCCCGATGCCGTGTCCTTTTGCCACAGACGCCCTCCCCAGCTTTGGCCCTGCTCTGGGTCCAGATGCTGAGGGGCCAGGCAGAAATGCATGCCATCCAGCTCTGCCCCATTCTCACCCTGCCCACCTGGGACCTGCATGGAAGTGGGGACCGTGCCTTCCTCACCCCGCCTTGCCAAGTGTTCTGTCCACGTTCCGCATGGGCCTATCTGGGTGCAGCCTGCTCAGACCCCTGCTCCTGTGGTGCAGGCTGGCACGTTCGAGCCTGGATCCCATGTGTGCTGGTGCCTGATGGCCATGGAGGGCCGGCGGACAGGGCAGCAGGGAGGACACAGATTAGTCAGGAAGCTTGGCCAGGTACCCTGTGTTCTCTGTGACACCCTGAGTTAGATAAATCCCTTCCCTCCTCCAGCTCCTCCAACGCTCATGGTGTTGGCTTACTGAGGTCCCTTCCAGCTCTCACATTCCACAATCCGTGGTCTGGAGCGCCTTGCTCATGCGCAGCCAGTTGTGAGATAGGGGAGTGCAGAAGCCAGGCCATTCTGCTCATGGGGATTCTGGGTGCCCGGAGGACCACCTGACTCTCACCAGGGGGTCTGGGAAGCGCCAAAGCCAGATGCTGCTAAGCAGAGCCAGCCCCGTGTTCCCACAGGGCAGGGAGGGGCAGGCTGAGGTCGGGGCTCCTTCCCCAAGCACAGAGCAGGGAGACCACGTCTTCTCAAACCAGACCAGCCCAGGCTCTACCCATGAGAAGAACTTTCCAGATTGTCAGGGATCACAGTGTAGCCGATGTAAGATAATGTGGTCCAAACTGGTGTTCTGCTGGTTTTACATCCTGGGACATGCCCCACGAGCCTGGGTTCTGCTGGCACCGCTGGAGGCTGCGTGTGTGTGCATGCATGTGTGTACATGGCCAGTCGGGAGAAACCAAGGACCAGAGAAACTGTCCACAGCTAAAGGCGGTCAGTCATGCTTCATGGCAGGGTGTCCTTGGAGGAGGGCCAGGCTCTGCTATCATGACAGTGTGTGGCCTCCCAGGGTCACCTTTCCTCCTCCGCAAAACCAAGGTGAGAGCAGCTGTGGCCCTCAGGGCCGAGGAAGATGTGCAGCAGTGCCTGCTTGCCCCAGAGCACCGTGGGCATTGTTCACAGAGAACCCCCTCCCTCCAGAGCGGGGTCTCCATGTGTCTGGCCCCCAGGAGCTCATGGTGCACCTCTCCCCCCTGCAGACTCCTCCTCTGGTAGCTGCCCACGGAGACCATGAACGAGGTGAAAGAGTCCCTTCGCAACATCGAGCAGAAGTACAAGCTGTTCCAGCAGCAGCAGTTCACGTTCATCGCTGCGCTGGAGCACTGCAGGGAGAACGCCCACGACAAGATCCGGCCCATTGCCAGCATTGGACAGGTGGGACCCCTGGTGGGGGCTGGCAGGTAGGACCCTGGGGGCTGCCTGAGTCAGAGATTCCTGGGTCTCACCACGCCCATTCCCCTCACATGAAAGAGGAAGCAGCTGAGGCCCAGAGAGGGAAAGCATGCTTGTGCCAGAACCGGACCCTGCTCCTCACTGGCAGAGTGAGCCATTCCTGCCCTCACCAGACGTGTGCATGAATATCCCCACAGCTGAAGAACAGGCTTCAGACTCAACCAGTCCTGGCCCTGTGCCATGTCACCTCTGTGAGCTCAGGCCAGTGAGTTCCCCTCCTGGCCTCATCTTAAGCAGATTCCGTGAGATCACTCCACAGACACTCAGCCCAGGTCCAGAGTCAGCACTTAGCGGTGTCTGGTGTCGGCTGCCAGACCCGGCCCATGTACTGGGACGTATCAGTGACCAGGCCGATAATGTCGCTGCCGTCAGGGCCCACTGGGTATGAGAAACTGCAAACAGCCAGGCTCTTCCCTAGTAGTTCTTGCCCATGTCTTATCTACCGCATGTCTCCTTGAGGGTCAGCTGCCATTCAGGTGTGCTCTGCACGACTTGGGGGCCGCAGACTGAATGACCTCCCGGGAAGAGAGGCTCGAGTCACGGTGCAGTTAGGACACACACAGGTCAGGGTGCAGAGGACTCAGCCATTTGAAGGACCACGGAGCACAGAGACCGACGAGACAGGGTGCAGGGCCCAGAAATGCTTGAGAGAAACAGCCGCAGAGAGCAAGCAACCCCTGTTGGCAGCATCCCTTAGAAAATTATTTTTCTAATTTTTGTAAAATTTCCCCAATTTCAAAGAAATTTTTTAAAAGAATTATTTAACTTATTTATTTATTTTAATTTGACCAGAGAGGGACGGAGTGCGAGAGAGGGAGGAAAAGTGAGAAAACAATCCACCAGGTCCGGGACTCGGTTACCGCAGCCAGCCATGTGGGAGTCCACCGGCCTTAACCACCATGCCACCTGCTGGCCCCAGACAATAAAGGATCCTTTGCCTAGACTCACCAGTTTATGATGGTGAGTCACATTTGCCATGTGTGTGCCCCTGAACTGTTAGAAGTTGGGGGCATCCCTTTTAGCTCATTTTCCAGAAGCTGAGTCTTCCAAGGGCTCGGCTCTGTCATGAGAGTGTGTGGACAGGTTTTAACTTCCAACAGTAGCCGAGTCCCACCTCCTCAAGACCTTCGTCAGTGGTGCCATGGCCCCCCTGTCAGCTCAGGCTCAGTGCATGGGCATGGTCTTCAGGCCTAAGGCTCCACCGCAGGCTCTTGGTAAACAACAGCCTGAGTTCTGGCTCTTCAGCCCATGTGCTGACTCTCAGCCCTTCCCTCCCCTCCCTGAATCAGACATGTCCCAGGTCACCCGCACACACCCGCAGCCTAGGAACACTGCTCTGTTGTAGTTACGCCATGGCCAGGTCCCTCCTTACCACCCACAGGTGCCTGGACAAGTCAAACGCCTATCCCCATACTGAGGTGCTGTGTGCCCAGTATACCTGGGAGAGAAGCACTTCAGTCATTTGAGAAGACATCCATTAGCAGCCACAGGCAACTGGCTGCAGTGGAAAGCCCTGGCTTCAACCTAGAAGCCTAGAACTGTCAGGGTGCTAGAGGGGTGGGGGCCCCTTCCATCACCAGATCCTGGAGAGGAGGACTACTAGAATGAAACAGGCAGAGCTCCCAGCCTGAACCAGACCCAGGTCCTCTGGATGCAAGATCAGACCCCTCTCCCCACCGCCAGATGCAGAGCCTGGGGGCCCAGGTGACAGGAGTAAGAATGCCCATTCCCCTTCCACAGAAAAGAGCCCAAAGTAGATCAGAGCACTGGCGTCCTCAGCACCCTCCATGGATTAAGAAAAGTGTCCACACTTCCACACGTTCACATGGAAGTCTGAATGTTCCATTTTAATGTGGAGTGAGGTAGAGGCCACATGCTGTTTCCCTCATGGATAGCCACTTTCCCCAACCCTAGTGGCCCGTCCCTCATTTCTCTGCCTGGTAAATGCGGTGCAACCAAAGCCCAAAGGCCCCTTGTTCCTTCTCTTGCCCCCTCAGTGTGAGGGCCCGGTCCCGCAGTTCTCGGAGCAGACCCTCTAAGTGGACTATGGTGGGAAAGTCTGAAAGCAGCCCATTCCACTCGAGGTGGTAGTTGGCTTGGTGGCGTGGGGCCTGGCATGGGTGCAGTTCATTGAGCTGGGGCTGGGGGAATCCAGCTACGTCACCTCCAGGGGTGCTCTGTGCACCTCCCTGACCATCCAGTGCCCAGATCCTGGCTGGTTGGGGTGGACTGCAGCATCAAGACCCTGTTGGGGATGCCTGTCTCTGTCTCTCATCTCCGATGGAAGAAATAAAAAACAAACACACACACATAAGTGTGTTGCATTTCCCCACGGACCTAGGGCGGGCTGAGGGCAGGACTAGCCTCACCGGCTCACGACCTGCTGGCCTCTGCAGGTGCAGAGCTACACAGAACACTACTGCAACAACTCCACGGACCGGCGGGTCCTGCTCCTGTTCCTGGACATCTGCGCGGAGCTGAACAAGCTCTGTCTGCGCTTCGAGACGCTGCACTCTGGCACCCCGGTCACCAACAGCCTCCTGGAGAAGTGCAAAGCCCTTGTTAGCCAAAGCAACGACTTAAGCAGCCTCAGAGCAAAGTAAGTCTCTTTGGGTCCAGATACGAGTGTCAGGGGCCTTTGGAGAAGGGCTAGCAACTCTGGCTGATTCTGACTCCCCAGGTGGGGGTCCTAGTTCCACTAGTTCACTGCTGTGGCCCAGACTCACCCGCACTTTTTCTTTAAAAGGGGTCGTAGGCCTAGGAGGACATCTGGCATCTCACCGGAGTTAGTACTGTAGCAGGGCAGGAGAGTCGTAGAACAGTTGTTCTCAGAAGGCCACGGAGATCCACAGCCACACAGAGGTGGACCCCAGCTGTGGGCTCCCGTTGCTGACCCCAGGGAACACACACCATCCTGTGCCAGTCTCCAGGCAGCTCTTTAGGTTCTGAGTAAGAAGAGTCAGAGGGGCTGCGTGCGTGGTGGGCAGAGCTAGCACCACTGCCCAAGCGATCCTGGCCCAGGTGGAAGACGGCCCGATCAGCTCCCAGCAAGTCAGGTGCACACACCGATCCTGGCTGGCTGGGAGGGCTGTGGAGCTGCTGTGTGAGACCTTGTTGAGGGTGCTTGTCTTTCATTTCTCTCATAGAAGAAAGGAGAGTGAAGGGATGAACCCGTACATATGCTGAGATTATGGTGGGCCCTTTGGCCTCTAAGCCACCTTTCTACCTCAGGGCAGGGTCCCAGCCCCTGCCTCTCATACCAGGGTATGTGGGCCTCTAGGCCCACAACAGGCTGCCCCAGAATCTCCAGGTGCAGGGAGCCTGAACACAGAGCACATCCAGTTCTGGTGGGGGCTCACCACGGCATGCCACATTCCCAGGGCATGCACTCACCCGGCCCCCGCTTGTCGCCCTGCAGATACCCTCACGATGTGGTGAACCATCTCAGCTGTGACGAGGCCCGGAACCACTACGGGGGTGTGGTCAGCCTCATCCCCATCGTGCTGGACTTGATGAAAGAGTGGATTGCCCACTCAGAGAAGCTGCCCCGCAAGGTGCTACAGCACGTGAGTGAGCCCCAGGTGGGCCAGGCGGTCACCGGAGCCTCTCTTCCTTCCCAGCGTTGGCAAAGGCCACACAAGTGTAGGCGGCTCACCAAAGACAGCCTCAGACCTAGGGGGAAAGACAAAGGACACTCAAAACCTCCCTGGAGACCACCTGGTGGGAAGCTCTAACCAGCCAGGGCCTGCTCCATCAGCGGGGGCGCTTGTTATTTAACTCGTCTGCCCATGTCGAGCCACTGTCACTGGCGCCCACAGTCCCTGCCACGTAGCCCCAGAGAGCAGCCAATATATCATTGAGAACCTCTCTCCCTCTCTTGCTGGAACTTCTCATTTCCACTCTGAGCATCGGGCTTTGTGCTGTTTGAAAGGATCCCACTTAGACAAGCTGCCTGAACACTGTGGTATTGGCGAGGGTGTCCCAGGAAGAGTGACAAAGAGAACGGGCACTGAGCTGCCCCTCGGGTCGTTCTTGGGCCACACCCACCCCAGTACTAGGCCTGCCCAGGCAGTGGCTCTGGCCTTGCAGTGAGCCATCCAGCTAGCTCTTGCCCCACCAGCAGATACCATAGGCAAGGCACGCGCTTCCTCTGCGGGCCGGGACGTTCCCCCTCCAGATGGAGTGGGGGTCAGTGGACCTCGGTGTTTTGTTCCTGGACCAGAACACACCTTTCCCTCTCCTTTCCTTGGGAGATGGAAACTCTGACAGAAGCCAAAACATTCTGATTTTGCGGCCCCTGTGCAAGGGTGACAACCTGCTCTGTACAGCAGAGTCACGTCCAAATGCTGTGAAATGTGTCCCCCGCTTCTGAGCCTGTCGGAACGCATGTCTGACTGCTGGTTTTTCCCTTCACAGGGGACGACTTAGCTTCTGTATTGTTGCTTCTTCGGGGGGAGAGAGTCAAGAATAAAACGTGTTCTACCACCTCTCTGCCTGGCTTGGTTTCCTGGGATTTACTCTTTTCTTTGGAGCGGTCTTTCCTACAGGGCGCATGCGCTTGCCAGACAGACAGAGACAGAAAGTGAGAAATCACCCCCCAGGGGGGATGGCCACACTGCAATCCCTTCTCCGTTCTCTTGAGATCTTGGGCACACACGCACACGTGCCTGGCGTGAGGTTTAAGCCACCGGGTCTGGGACGCAAACCACGGTTGACTACATGGGAGTCCAGTGACATAACCATTACGCTAACTGCTGGTCCCCCTGGGATTTACTCTTTTTTTTTTTTTTAAGAATTATTTTATTTAACTTTATTTAATTTATTATTATTATCATTATTATTTTTCAGTTTGATCAGAGAGAGACAGAGAAAGTGGAAGTGAGAAAGCAAGCCATCAGGTCCGAGACTTGAACCGTGGTCGGCCATGTGGGAGTCCAGCGCCTTTAACCACCATGCCACTTGCCGGCCCCGGGATTTACTCTTAAAACCTGCATTTCTCCTGGGACATCAAAAGGCACTGGGCAGCAGCCACACACAACCACTAGTGGATGGCAGAGAGAAGCCACTGTGAGGGAAAAAAAAAGCCACTGTAGACAGGCGGCTGCCGGGTCCAGGCGGGCGCTGCTTCTCACGGTTCTGCCCAAGGGCTGCAGAGCCTGCGTTCAGACATCTCTTCAGCGGTGCAGAGTAACCCCTTGTCTAGTCAGTCCTATTCAGATGAGAAAGCCTGTTTTCTATATGAATCACAATTGCCACCTCTGAGCCTCTGTCTCATTAAGTGGCAGAGCAATACTGACTGTCAGACACAGCCAGGCCAAGGCAAGCACTGAAAACCAGGTCTCTACCAGACCTCCTCACCCACTGGCCCTTCACCACGTGTCCTAAGCCAAGAGAGCCTAAGCCAGGGTGGGTCTCAATCCACCATATGAAGGCCGTTTCCTGCCCTCATTCCAAATACCTAAAGGGCAGAGAAGTGGAGATAGGAGGGGCACACGACACACACTGCAAGGCCCAGGCCGGCAAGCTTGACAGTGATGGCACTCAGCGTGCCGTCCAACCCCGAAGGCTGCTGGCACCACACCAGGCTGGGCGGCACTGCAGACCTGGCAGGCTGCCGGCTTTGAGGGTGTCTCTGGTAGGGATGCCTCAAGGTGCCCCCACCCCTGCCACAGCATCCTCTCTGCCACCCTTTGGGGAGAACATGAATTTGTGGCAGATGAAAGTAGGATTTGTGACCATGCACAGATAACGAACCAGATGAAAAAGAAAAGTCTGACAAGACTAAAGCCAGAGTCCACTGTTGGTCAGCCTCCTCCTCCTCCAGCCACAGAGGTGACCAGTCCAGACCTGAAGGCTTTATGCCTTGGACTAGACCCTACCTTCTCTGTAAGGACCGCCCCCCCAACCAAGACCAGCACGATGACACGGGAGTAGTGCAAAACAATACATCTTTATTTGTTCACAGTTAAACACAAGCAACTGCCTTGACATTTTAGAACATTCTAAGAAGGACAGCAAACCCTTTTGATTCCAATTCCCATTCACTAGGATTGTACCATTCTCTCTCGCAGTTTGTATTTATGGCATCTGATGTGGATTGTTTGACATGCTTTTAAGGTCAAGGTGGGAAAGTTTAAACCTTTTGACAAAAGATGCTTTCTTCAATTTAACTAAAAGCAGTCAGTTTAAAAACAAAAACAAAAACAAAACCTTTCTCTGCTCTGAGGGGACCTTTCAAACCGCAAGTTAACCACATATGGTGCAGCCATGATTAAGTTATAAAACTGAGTTGCGTCTTAGAAAATCTGTTCCTCCATAATGTCTGTGGTCCATAGGAGTCTTCCGAAAGGTGATTGCTGATTCTCCCTAGTGCAAAGTGCCTGGCTGCGTCTGGGCTAAGCCAAAGTACTGGCTGCAGAGCAGCACCGGCCCTCCTGTCCAAACACTGGCTGATTGGGGGGTAGGGGGTCCCGGGCTCCCAAACTCTCAGGGTCTCCTCTAAAAGATCTTCTCCAATGGTTAAATCAGCCTACTTCTCCTGGAAGAGAGATGAGCTGGTGGCGCTGGGGAGGCAGGAGAGGGCTCCTCTGCCGTGAACAGCGAGGGGCGCAGGTGAGCAACTATCTCAGGCAGGCCCTCTTGCTGCTCCCCTGCCAGGTGGGCACATCTGAACTGCAGGACAGTGTGGGAAAGTAGGGAACACTGCTCCCGTGGGCACGTCGGAGTCACGGGTGGGGAAACGAGCCACAGGGGACAAGGGTCACAGCAGCAGCCTAGGGACAGTCTCCAACCTAAATTTGTTCTTTTACCTACAGAGAAAAAGCGTAATCATGCGCAATTACTCTGCAGCGATCCTGGGGGCAGGGGCCATTTGTCACAGACTGGTCGTAAACAGATACACGAACATCTCAGGCTGGACCCTGCCCAGCACTCACAGCAGGACCATTTTAAAGCTTGTGGCTTGGAGGGTGAGGAAGTGTGCCCGCCGGGGTCAGTGCACAGCAGCTTCCTCCCCGATGAGGCGCTCGGGGTGAGGCGGCCCCCAGGCTGCCTCCGAGCATCGGCAAAGGGTGGGCATTACTCCATCCCCACCACAGCCCGGACTGGACCGAGCCTTCGCTCTGCCAGACCCCCCTCCAGCCTGGGCACTTTCCTGGCCTCTCAATGCTCTCAGAGGAAGTGAGCATAGTCACGCGGCACCTTCGTTTGTCCTTAGTTCTTCCTTCCTGCCTTCACGTGGTGTGTTCTAGCACCTGGCAGGAATTTGCACTGGCTAGTCACTGTGCTCGGCTCTGCACAGAAACACACGCCGTCTCCTATCCTCACCTGGGGTCGGCACCTACGTGCTCCAGCTCGGAGACTCGCCATCCCCGTGACCCACTCACGTATCCTCTTCTGAGCAAATGCTACAGTTTGAGCTTTCTTGACAAAAACACCAGAACTACACACGCTGTGGCACAGGGGTACAGCCCAGGGTCTAGGGTTCAGGTCCCTGTTTCCTGCTTTTCCCATGGATATGCTGGCCCTTCTGGTCACAGCAGCGTGGAGGGCTAATTTTTCTAACTGCCAGCAGCTTCCAGGACCTTCTCCTGAGTTGTAATTGTCCACCTTCTAGAACCAGTGTGGACTCATCCCCCAAACCACATCACACAAATGCTGGCTCACGAGGTGGCTCACCTGTCACCTCTCCACTCACACAGCCTAGTGACAACCTTCCACAGCTTATCCCCCAAGGGTAGGCACTTTCTCTTCCTAAACAGTGTCGACAAACCTAGAGAGCTCCCCACCACCCACCCGCCTTATGCAGGTCCCACCAGGCACGCATTCCCAAGGATACCTATAAAGTTCTCCATCCAAGGAGTGGCCTTGCCCTCCTGCCTTGCGTTTCCATCAGCTCTTTATTCCATGACCGCGAGTTCTTCTGATCCCATAGTAACAATTTTTAAAGACTTTCTGGCAGAGCGTTATCAAAAGCTTTTTAAAAAGCTCTATCTGTGTGCTTATTTACCTGCAGTAGATCCAAAAACTCACTCTCTTTTAATCTTATTTCCTCTTCCCACCCCATAGCCCTCACCCCACATCAAGCCGCAGTGTCCCTGTTTGGACAGCGCTGCGTGGCACAAGCAGCAGCTCCAGTCTCGTGGGGGCCTACGCTGGCCCTGGTTGGTGCCAGATGGGAAGCTGAGTGGGGCACCCCCATGGTCAAACCGCTGAGAGGCAGGCATGCTTGCTCAGAGCGGTTTTGGACAGAGGCTATCCAAATCCCAACAAATAAATAAACGCCGAGCTGCTCAACCAGTCCTGAGCCAGGCTCTGCCCAGAGCACGCGCTCTGCACCCTTGCCCAGGCCTGAGCTGCTCTCAGGGGTCTTCTATCACTTTCCATGCTCCAAACTACCCACGGCTGGCCGGTGGCACGGAGTTAAGGTGCTGAACCCCACATGGCTGATCGCGCAGTTACGGTTCCAGACCTACTGGCTTTGAAAAACACACTGGGCGTGTGTCTGTGTGTGCCCCAAATCCCGGGAGGACTGTCATCCCCTGGGGGGTACTTTCTCACGATGCCTTTCTGTGTGTGTATCTCTCTGCGGTGAGCATGCACATCTGATAGCAACATTTTTTAAATAAATAAAATTATCCACTGTGGCACACTCAAGTGACCAGCTAACTCCCGGCAGGTTTATCGCTTTCAAAACAAAACCTTGTTATTGACTCTGGAGTTCTTTGCCACATAAAAGCACACATTTTTAGGCAGGACTCCAGTTTCCGGTCCCTAACATTAGGTGTCTCAAACCCATGGCCGCCTGGAGCGCAGAGGAACCTAAGCCTGGGTTCACCTGGGAGACGCCCAGGCTGGGGGAGCAGGCCGAGGCCCAGGCAGACACTGTCGGAGGCCTCCGGTCTGGGCCTCGTCTGTTTTACTGCCACTGCTGCCCTGTCCCCTGTGCATTCACAATCTGTCCACTTGAACATACTTTCCTTTTCTGGCTGGGCCTCCTCGCCTTTGCCAGTTACAGAGAACTGGGCTTTGGTTTCTATACCTGGTGCCTTTGTTCGGTGGCACAGATTTCGGGCTTGGAGAGGGGAAAAGTACCTGAAACAGGCTTCAACAGCTAATCTATAACACTTCTTTCCCTTTCTGCATTTGTTCATGTTCTCCTTTTCTAAAACTGAGCCAGGAAACTGGACATACTGGACTTTGGACGAAGCTGAACTAAACTTGTGGCGTCACCAATACTCCACATCCTGGCTGGGCTGAGAGCAGTTGGGGACATGCCCTCTTACAGGCTGGGAATCAGTCAGCCACACTCAGAAATCCTGCCCCAAACCAGCCCTGGAAGGACAGCCACTGGGACTGGAGCCTGACTATCTGGTTCCCTTCGGTTAGGGATGCTGGAGTATTTATTGCCACATTTAAATAAGAGAAAGACTTTTACCCTGCCTTGCTGAAAGCTTCCCCGTGCAGTGAGATTCCGTACCATAACAGCTTCTTTTTCCTCATGGCTAGGCCCTTTTATTCTTTTCAGTGGAAGAACAGACACAAGAAAACCAAGTTCACGAGCTCATCCCTGCCCTGTCTCTCGTGCCACAGCGAGGACACCAGGCAACAACTCTGAGGCTCCTAGCATTTATTTCAGGAGCATTTTCGAGTCTGCGGTCTCCACCACCAGCAGTGTTGTGACTGGTGTCACCTCTAGTGGGCACAGGCAGTCAGCCCCCAGCAACGGTCTCCTATACCCTGCTTTAAACTGCTCTGCCTTCACTAACAGGGAGTGTGGCAATGCCATGCTCCCCAGAGAGTAGCCCCTGGAAGGTGGGACTGGCATGGAAATGGCTGCTGCCTTTTTGTGGCCCAGAACACACTTCCGTGAGGCAGCCCTAACAGGAGTGACAGTCATGGGCAGGGAAGAAACTCTGGGCCTTCGAGCCTTTCTGCTGTAGCGACAGAATGAGAGGCTGAATATGAGCCTGGGAAGGCAGGTAGACCGGGCTTGCCCAGAGCTCAGCTAGATGGACACAGCCTAGAGGGGGAGCTGTCCTGCCAGCGCTCCTGCATGACTTCATCAAGGGGCGGCCCTTGCCTCCTGCAGAGAATGGTCCTACCACCTACACTCCCACCCATGGTCAGAAAGTACCAGCATTCAAGCAAACACCAAATAAATAAGAGGTAGAGGGGGGAGGACAGAACGCTCCTAGTGGGCAAGAGTGGTCTCCAGCACTCACCCCAGCTTTTGAGACAACCAGAGTCTGTTCACACAGAACATCCCAGGAAGCTTATCAGAACTGCTGAGAGACCACAAAGAATGAATAAACCATTGTTTTCCCCATCTGCTGCTTTAGGTGCTGAACTTCAGAACCGAAAAGCAGTGCAAAGTCTGATGTAAAAGCTTCCAAATAAAGGCAATCTACTTTGCAGGCCACATCATCCCTGAAGGGACAAAACCAGACTTACCTGCAATGCCACCAGCTACCTGGTCTAACCGAGAGCCCACTCAGTTATCTGAGCTTGAGGAAGGAGAAAGTGGCATGTTAGACTCAAAGATTCAATTTGGCCTCATATTGCACAGGATCAAAGGATGCAACCATTGTGGGGGAGAAAGAAAATACAGCTACCGAGGAATGCAGACTGGCCCTCGCTTGAGCACACACTGGGGGGTAAACGAGAGGTTTGGGGTGGGCTGAGGGGAAGGGTTAAGAGGAATTTCAATGTCAGATCCAGAAACCGTACTGCGTCCCGCCAGCTGCCAAAAGGACCTGCATCCCACTTCCACCACGTAAGCAAGCCACCCGGACCCTGGGCCAGGAGCACCCTCTGCCACGCTCAGCCCCGCTCCATGCTGACGATGTGTGAGTTAACACTGATTGACCCCCATGCTTAGCTGTGTTCAGGATGAGTCTCGTTGTAGTCCATGATACGGAGCTGTCCAACACTGTCCGGGTTCAGGGGAGATGGGAGCGGGCCATCCAGGTTCAGGGGAGTCTTGGCCTCCACATCCAAGTCTTTGCCCAGTTCTGTCTTTAAGGTCTCGGAAAGGCTACTGATGGTCATGCTGTCCTCGTCACACTGGCTCTCACTCTTGTTACGAAATAACTCTCGGGCCTTCATGCCCAGGAAGCTTTTTGAACTGGGAAGTGAGCCGACAGTCGTGGGGATGCTGGTGGCATGCTCTCCTGTGGTGGTTTCCCACCGACTGCTCAACGGGCCTGCCCTCTGGTGTGGGGGTTTCTCCGGGGTCGAGAGCTCGCTGCTGCTGCTGCTGCTGCCTCCACCTCCTCTACTGCCACCACTGCCCCGGGTGCTGCTGGGCTTGGGGGTCTTGGTCTCACCATTGTGGCCAGATGCCTCTTCGTTGTGCCCTACCATGGAATCCAAGCAGCCATCATTACAACAGTCAAGCCTGTAAGAAACCCAGGAGGAAAAAAGTGGTTGGTGACTAGCACATGCACAACTGGCAGGTGCAGAAGCACCCCGACACTCGCTCACTCTGGGGCTGAACTCCACTGGCCTGCTCTGACTCATGCAAGAGGCCTCGTCAGAAGAAGGGTAAGTCAGCATTATAGACACTGGATGGCGATCTCACACAGCAGCACCCCCAGTGACCACAGCGAGTGACTCATGGCCAGGTTAAAAGGAGCATGAGAAGATCGCTGGGCCATCCAGGAGAGGACAGTGAGGGCGCTCTGAAACAGAGCGGGCCACGGGCACAGCCCCAGTTGAACAGCTGCAGCTGCCTCTGGCACCGGGTGCAAAGTGTCTGACTCTGTCAGTGGCCGCCTAATCTCAGGCCACTGGTGCAACTCTCGGTGCCTACCTTTCTTCGGCTGCCTCAGCTGCTTCTGTTTTCTCCTCTTCAAGTTTCTTCAGGAGGCCATCTTTCTCCAGCCTGCCATATAGGTCTAAGATCTCCAACTCGAACACCTGAGTGATCCTCTTCTGAGCCTCATACCTACTCTCTGCAGCCTGCAGCTGTCCTCTGAAAGACAGACCAGCCCAGATGTGGAGAGTTCCACTCAACAAAGAACACACGGCTGCCAAAACCTTCCCCGATGAGAGTTACCTTGCCTGGAGCTTGACATCCTCTAAATACTTCTTCTGTTCCAAAAGGAGGTGGTCTTTCTTGGCCAGATGAGATTCCAGTTCCAAAATCCGCTTCTGGGAGGTATCAAGCCTCTGATTCTGCTGGAGAACATGGCTTCTGTTTTTTTCTAGTTCTTTTCGATATGCAGCTTTCATCATTTCTACTTCCTTTAAAAAAGAAATCTAAGTTAGTACTTTATACTTTTTTTGAAATCTACCCTTAAGGAACATTTGAAACATGAATTTTCCATAAAAACAAGCATAGCAGGCCCAGCCTCTGTGGCACAGCTGGAAGCCACATGACAACAGTGGGGTAAGTGCCCTGCCCAGTCAGGCTGGACACATACCACACACATGGAAACACACTCCCGCAGGACTAGGGAAAGGGTTGGGGCGTGATCAAGTCCTGTGGAAGGTACCCTCTCTCGAGGGCACATGTACATGCTCCATCATGAGAAATAAAAATAACAGCGTATTTAAAGAGCAAAACATGGTAAACAGTTCCATCTAATGCTGAGGAAACAATCATAAATAAAGCTGTACTGGACATTTCTAAGTTTTTAGGAATGCTAAGTATCAGTGAAAAAAAAGACGACCACGAAGATGTTTGAGCATAACATTCACACAGCGGAACTCCGGCTCTGCGTCCTTCTCCACTCTCTCTAACATGAGCTGGGGTAGAGCTAGGGACATGGCCCGAATGGGGCAGGGCGTTCGAGCACAGCCGCGTCTGTCCACGGGCCAGCAGGTTGGCATGCTCACATACCCAAGCAGGTACACACTGACGCTCAGAGAACGTGGGGAGGGGACTTTCCGACAAGCACGTGCTGCAGTTACGTTTGCTATTTACTGTGGTAAAATGTATGTGACATACAATCTGCCACATGTTTAAGGCTTTGGGTTTGTTTTACAGATAAGGACCTCACTATGCTAGGATCCTCCTCTCTCAGCTTCCTGAGTAGCTGGGAATCGAAACCCTGGCCTCTCGTGTGCTCTCGCCTGCCTGCTACCGTGGCTGGGCTGCCGTATGTGTGCCCCTCGCCTTTATGAAAGAGGAGGAGGAGAGGGAGACAAAGACGGGTCTGCTTTCTGAGAGGCCCATGCCGTCGCAATCAGCTAGGATTACAGGTACACACAACCATGTCATGAATGCTCAGGGAACCACACCTGGCCCTCCATGGCTTCCCACCTCGCAAGTGGTGGTGATATCTGCATACCCCAGAACTGAGCCCATTTGTTTTGTTTTAAAGACAGTAAGCCACAGGAACAAAGCGATGAGCTTTCATGAAGATGCCCAAAGCATCCTCAGTGTAGAGTGGACAGCCCGAAGCCCAGAACTGGGCCTCAGCTAACATGGCTTTCCAGCTGCAGACAGAGGCTCCAGACTTCAGCACGCGTTAGGTCCACCCATCTCCCTCCGTCACAAATGATGGTATTCATTTCTGGATATTCAGGCGAGGTACAGAACCAGAAATGTGCATGCGCTCGCTAACCCTCACAACCGCCCTATGGGAGCTTCGCCAAGACCCCCAACTCTCAGATCTATGCCTCTCCTCCTCCCCCTTCCCTAGACTGCAAGAGTAACCCTAGCTCCAGGTCCAAGGGGCAATGCAACAACTAGGCTAGGGGTGGGGAGATGACAGTCCTGGGCAGCAAGAGAGCCGGGTAGTGCGGTAGAGTCCTGGGGAGTTCCCTTGCCAAGAGAGACCTAAGAAGGAGACGCTCTCCCCTGGGACAGCCTTGTCTGCCACACCACCTGCACCTGTGGTGCACACTTGGCAACTGCGAGCACAGCGAGCCAGAGGACAAGGTGACAAATGAGGCAGGCAGTGCAGACACGTAGAAAGGGCCTGCTCCTCCCACCTGAAACTCGCTGCCTCCTGACTTCCTGTCAGTGAAAGAAAGTAAGCGCCTACTGTTTAGCCACTTCCATTTGTCTTGTTGCTTACAACGGAAGGCACCCTGACTGTGAGCCAGTATCACCACCCCATTTTGGGCAGGTGGCTGCTCAAGGTGACAAAGAGAAAGGGGCCCTAAACAGCAGACCACAGCACAAAGGGGGCAACAGCACTTCCCTCGGGAGACGTTACGAATATCTTGGCGAGCTTTGTTAGGGTCCTCAGCCCTGAGGTTTGTCTCCCCCTGCTTTTCCCAAAGTCATTATACCTCCAAAATATGTGGTAGCCGGTATCACAAAGTCCCACAGTTGGCATCCTTCTAAACGGAGTCTGAGAATCGGACAGCTGAGAAACAAGCAGGAACTTGAAAATTATATATCTGCAGCTCTAAGATTCCACGTTTGGCCAAAAGAGACGCTTTATAAAGCAGACACCCAAGAAACCCTAGGAGGCAGGCGCCAGTGGGGGGCAGGGGGGCAGCAACAGGACACACCTGAGCACCTGCTACCGGACGTCTGCTCCCAGTTGGTTCCCCACGTAACCCAAGGCTATTTATACAGTGCCATAAAACCACTGCCTCAGCGCTACCGCTACCGGTGAGGCACTAATTAACATGAGATTGCCCTAATGCCAGCCTTGTGGCCAGGCCTTAACTACTCTGCAGAAATTAAATTCAGCATGAGAGGGAACCAGCAGTTAGCGTAATGGCTATGTCGCTGGACTCCCATGTAGTCAACCGCGGTTCGCGTCCTGGACCCAGTGGCTTAAAACTCATGCCGGGCGCATGTGCGTGTGTGCCCAAGATCCCAAGAGGAGAATGGAGGAGAAGGGATTGTGGCATGGCCGTTCCCCCTGGGGGGTGATTTCTTGCTTTCTGTCTCTGTCTCTGTCTGTCTGGCGAGCACACGCGCCCTATAGCGAAAATCTCTCCAAAAAAAAAAAAAAAAAATCAGCATGAGAAGGAAGGAAAACTGATGTGTACCCCAGTAAATACCCAAAGTCCTAAGAGGTCCATGAAGCAGGACTGGCTCCCTATTTGCAGGGAGAGGGCAACATCTGTATCAGCCCTGTCTACCAGTCACCATCAGGAGCTCCCATGGGTACCTGCCTCCACTTCAAACCAACCACCAAGGGGGGACCGAGCTCACAGGATGGCTGGGAAGTACTTGGACAGCTGGGCCAGGGACAGTGGGGAGTGGACACCTGGACCCAACTCTCTATTTTAGGAAATGAGCCATAAAGCCATTCTGCTTGATGTGCCACAGACAGGCTGCCAAGGCCCCCAGGGCTTTCTCGCCGGAGGTCTGGCCCCCAAGCCCCAGCATACCTTCGTGGTGTCCGAGTGCTTGTTCTGAAGTTGCTCCAAATACAGCTCGTTGACCTCCCCGAGAACCAACAGCTGCCTGTTCAAGAACTCCATCTGCTGCTGGACTGACTCGCTATTGGAGAGCTAGCCAAAACAGACAAGCAAGCAAAGTGAGAAAAGTGCAACGCGGAAGTCGTAAATGGCCCTGAGCAGAGGCCAGCAAGAACACGGCCGCCCCACATGGGGCAGGCACACCCCATGGTCTCAGATTCCCTGCAGAAAACCTGGCATGGAGGGGCACACAAGGCCAGCGACGGAAGAAGCGCACTTTGAAATCGTGCTGTGCAAAGGGAAGCAGTGTCCACACGCTGCCTCAGCAGTGCCCGTGCACAGGACTGGGGAAGACAGGCAGGTACACGGCCACCGGAGTGGGGACGGAAGGCCCAGGAGGAGAGAGAGTACAGTGAATCCCCAAAAGGGGGGAATCCAGCACCAGGCCTGAATGAACATTTCACATTCAGGTATAAGAAAGAGTGGCGGACGGCCTAGGCACTGCCTGGTCATGTCACAGGGCATCTGGCAGCACGCCAGCCCTGCCCACCAGGAGCCAGTAGTAGCAGCACTGTGCACCTAAGACGTCTCCAGGTGCTGCCAGATGTCCCTGGGAGTGAGGAGGTGTGGGGACGGGCAGAGTCACTGTTGGACACCCCTCACGTGGACACCCCGTCTGAGGGAAGAAGGTGGGCAGGCAGTGTGGGCACAGGCGCAGGCCTGCTCTGCTCACCTTCTGAGAAACCTGGCTGAGCAGCAGCTCGGTGTGGCACACCTTGTTGTTGGCCTTCTTCAGTTCCAGCCGCAGCTCGGCAATCATATTCCTGCAGTCCTCCAGCTTCGTCTGCCCAAAGAAACATAGACATGCAGCTGCAGCAGCACTGACAGGCCAGGCCATGGCCCGCCTGGGCGTGAGCACCTGCAGCGCGGGGAATGCCTACTGCCTGAACTCCATGTTCCTGGACCATCAAGCTGTGACTTCTTAGTTTTAAAGTGTTATGATTGATTTTAGAGTTCCTTAATGTCTAACAAAAGGGAAAAAAGACCCCAGATCTGCAGTTCCTGAACTGTATGCCTAAGGGCCCTGGGGCTACCCAGCAACTCTCTGGGATGCTACAGAGACAGTCTACATTCTCTGTCCTGAGGGAAACACAGCGACATCTGCCGGACAGCATGTGAACACTAGTAGCTAGAGGAGGCCGACAGTTCAGTGTTAGATGGGGCTGTGTGTCCAGGTGATGTCATGTCTTTGCAAAGCTGGGCTTCTGAAAACTGCTGTGATAAAAGCACCGCGAGAAAACCAACAGGAAACAGGAAATGCAGGTGTCAGTGTTCACAATGATTCCAAAGACTGAGATGCTGTGCAGTGCCCAACAGGGTGCAGTGTGGCATTAATAACCACAATTACTTAAAAATGAAATTAAACATTGTTAAATTTTATGTGTATTATTTTCAAATAGCTACCAAGCTGTTAGGACATACATACATACTAAGTTGTTTAGATCTCCTTAATAAGCAGAACTCTGGAATGTTTCTTTTGACTATGGACAGCCAGGAAAAAAATTAAAAGAGATACTAGGGGAGCTATGAACCCAGGAAGAGGGGGAGCCCCTTCCCTAAATCAGATTTCTCTGACATAAAATACAACTGCCACGCTTCAGAAAGAAATGCATCTATCTCGGTTAAACCGAACAAGGTGGAGATACCGTAAGAAGCGCTGTCCTCCTCCTCTGCATGCTCTGCCGTGTTCCACTATACCTGTAATTCCTGGCTCTGGTTGTAGAATTCTTCACGGTCGTGTTGCAGCTGTCTGATCTGGCTGTGGAGCTGGGTCACCACGGTGTCACGCTGCTCCTGGAGCTGACTGTACCTGGCCTGCTCTCTCTGCAGACTGACCTTCCAGATCTGGATGTCCTTCTCCTGTAACTTCAACTGGTCTTTCTAGCAGGGACCAGAAATGCTGTCAGTGGAGCTGCCTTCCCACCCGGGCAGTGCTCAAGTCTAACGCATGTCATCTACATGGTCCTAAGCTAACCCTGGGACCGTAACTACAAACCCAGAATCCCTACTGTGTGTATTTGGCTTTAGGTCACGGTTTTCCAAATTTCACATGAGCAGATGAATCATAATTTGCTTAAAGAACGTGTCTTGGGAGTCAGCTTGTTTCCAATACTTTCTAAGTCCTAACCACTAACACCGGAATAAGACTGCTAACATACGACAATAATTACATTCAATAAAGTGATGAAATTTACTGAATGCAGTGACACCGAGCACGTGCTCACTGACGTCATTTCCATTAACTACCCCGCCTTCCACAGTAGGTGCTGCTATGACTGTCTCCATCTTACAAAAGGTTCCTCTTCGAAGGCAACAACTGGTAAAGGCAAGAATCATACTTCGGGTTTGGCTGGCTTCACAGCCACTAGAACACACACACACACCCTTAAACTTCATGCTATGAAACGGCTTTAGGGGAGCTGGCTTCACATTTGGAAACATTACCTTTGGACCACTTTATCCCTATAGCCGGTTACAAGCACAAACACATACATGAAGTCACTTGTCCTGTGGTTCTGAGAGCCATTCACCTGCACCCTACCTCAGATACCAGGCACCCTACCTGAACCATAGCAGGGGCAGGGGTGGAACAAAGGCTTCTGACCTCACCTAGCTGCTGCTCTTTGCAAGTTAGCACACGGACCCCAAACCAACCAGACTGCGCCCACCCCGCCCACCATCCTCACCATGGCAGCATTGTGCTCTTCCAGGGCCGCGGCCTTGATCACCCTGCGGAGGAGCCGCCTATTCCGGACAGCGTGCTGCTGCCGCTTAAAACGCTCGTACAGTAACTGGTTGTGCAGTAAAAGCAACTGGTCTCGGAGGGTGCGGATCTCATCTGAAGGAGGAGAGCCTGATTTTAAAGCAGAGAGGGGGTGACAGATTGGCTTCTAAATCACCTTCAGCCAAGCCCCGTCCCACAAGCTGTCAGTGTAAGAAGCACCATCTATCATACTCGCTCTGCGAGGACCACCAGTCCCTGCACGGTGAACCTGGGAAAGACACCTACCACCTCACCTTGTACCACGGGGCAGCTCTTTGAGGGCGCTGTCCCTTTCATCCTCGGACCTGACTCATCTGTACCTACTCCAGTATCCCTCTCTCTCTCTTAAGGCCCTCCCCTCCTTCACGGCTGTGTCCTCTCCCATCAAGACCTCCAGCACCATTCACTGCACGTGGGTCTTTCCCCAGGAGGCCTGGTGTGAAGTCTGCACTTTTTGCACTCCTACTCTCAAGCACACGGTACTTTCAACTTTTCAAAAATAGGAAATGCTGACTTTGCCACACTTGAGATGCTTTAGCTGCTGCAGCAGCCCAGCGGGAGCTGTCACCTATAGGTACCTCCTTCAAGGCCAGAAAAGGCAACGGGCAAGCAGGAACCATGGGGGCTGGATTTGGAGCTACAGTGACAACTTTACCTCCAAAGTGGGTCCAGTCCACAGACTTGCTGGGTAAAGATAGCCTAGGAAGAAAGTGAGTAACAGAGTTACTGATCTCGCCTAGAAAACACTCGCTGGGACTTCTAACTGCAGCAAGATTACATCACTCCTTCCTGGCCATAATCTTCAATGGCATAAATCATTTTCAAACTGAAAGTCCTCCTGGGGTCAGAGGAGGAGCCTTGCTGTGGGTGGAAGGGGTAGGCACCCCTGTGTGTGACCACATGTCCAGAATGGGACAGCCCTACACTGAGCTCATGTCACTCACTCTGTGGCCTGTTTCTGAGTTTGCTCTCCAAAGAGGCTGGGAGGCCAAACACAGTTGCTTTCACCCCTCTGTGGAAATATGCCTAGCACAGCTCTGTTCAGTCAGCTACTGTTACCGTCCTTTTGGCCCAAACCGCCATCTTCTAGTAATTCACCAAAGTGACGAACACAAAGGGAACGAGGAGAGGCACCCGATACATGTGCTCTAGGCCTTTTAGAAAACATGGAGTTGTTCCTTTGGCAACATACATGTGAATCTACAAGAAAGGTGATATTGTAGACATTAAGGGAATGGGTACTGTTCAAAAAGGAATACCCCACAAATGTTACCATGGCCAAACTGAAGAGTCTACAATGTCACCCAGCATGCTGTTGGCATTGTTGCAAAAAAAAAAAAAAAAAAAGTGAAGGGCAAGAATCTTGCCGAGAGAATGAGTATGCATATTGAGCATATTAAGCATTCTAAGAGCAGAGACAGCTTCCTAAAACATGTGAAGGAAAATGACAAGAAAAAGAAGGAAGCCAAAGAGAAAGGTACTTGGGTTCAACTGAAGCACTAGCCTGCTCCACCCAGAGAAGACACTTTGTGAGAACCAAAGGAGAAGAGCCTGAGCTACTGGAACCTATTCCCTGTAAAATTATGGCATGACGGGTGTTAAAAATAAACTCATCTATGGTGTATAAAATTATGGCATGACAGGTGTTAAAAATAAACTAATCTATGGTGTATAAAAAAAGAAAAGAAAAAAAAAAAAGAAGAAGCTATTGTTACTCAAGTTTAAGGAAAAAGTAGGTCGTTTATTTACTTTATTTACCTCCTGAGCCTATTACACCAAATCTCACTTCAAAAGAGGAAGTTTAAATATTGCAATCCCTGTCAAATTCCACCCTGGGCTACTACACAGAAGCTAAATAAAATCAAGCACCCCCCAGAACCTGAGGAGGAACAGTAGGTGAGTCAAACGCTGGACGCTTCCCTTCCCTTTCCCTGAATGCCCTTGGCAAGGGAATATAAGAAAGTCGAAGAGTGTCTCAGATTTCTTTCTAAGAAAGTCTGTGTGTCTCTGGGGATGGGGGCCACCTGACCTTTCATAAAATGCTGAAGAATTTATCTTCCACTTAAAGAACTATGTTACTGAAATAGAAAATAGTAATTTCTTACTAGATGGGGGAAACATTATGACAGACATTCTTACGTTCTTTCAAATACCGGAAGTTCATTTTTCTTTTTAATTTGTCAGAGGGTACATGCCCTTGCTGGAGATAAAGAGAGAGAAAAAGAAAAGGGAAAAGCACATCCTGGGGGCATGGTTGCACCGTGACCCCTCCTCCTCCACTTCTCCTGTCGAGGTTTTGAGTATGCATGCACATCTACCTACCATTTTTTTCAAGTCACCAGGTCCAGACACAAACCATGTGGTTGGCCACGTGGGATCCAGTTCCCTTAACCACCAGGCCATGGGATAGCACCTTAACTTCACTTTTAACCTCCAATTTTCAGAGTCCAAAAGAGAAGTAAGAATTTGAGTGTCTTCAGAGTGGCAGGAAACAGCCTACATTTGGGGGGCCAGCAGGTGGAGTGGTGGTTAAGGCAATGGACTCCCATGTGGCCATGGTTTGAGTCCCAGACCCAGTGATTTGAAACTCAAGCATTATGTGTGTGCATGTGTGCCCCAAATCCCAAGAGGACAATGGAGGAGAGGGACTGCATTGCGGCCTTTCTCATTAGGGAGAGGGGATGATTTTTCACTTTTCCTCTCTCTGTCTCCCTCTAGTGAACACACATGCCCTATGACAAAAACCTATAAACATTTTTTTTAAAAAGACTTATTCTGAAATGACCACGAGGGGATTATCCCAACTTTATGTGCATTTATGAGCCTACAAATGTCCACATAGATGAAAAGGCAGCAGATGAGAAGGACGTCTGACAAAACGGAGGCCCTACCTCTGGGGAGAGTGTGGAGCGACTGTCCCCACCCTTACGCTGTCTGTACTTCCACACCGAGCAGAGCCTGACCCCTTACTTGCTGAGCTCCTTGCTGTGTGCGTCTGCTCCCTGCTGTACCAGTCTGTCCAGTACTTCCATCGGGGAGGTGGAAGGCACGTAGTCTTCCTCCACGCTTCCTTTCACTTTCCTTAACAGTTCCTTGGTCTTCTCGCTGACAAAATGATGGGCAGTCTTTGGCAATGCCACCTCAAAAAGATGATCGTAGGGGGGAGGCTGACCACTTCCGAAGCCTACTCCCCTCTGAGGTGGAATTTTACAAGGGCTGGGAGTGAGGATACTGGTCTCCCGAGAAGTCTGGTGTCCCCTGTCCCTGGCAGGACTTTCATCAGCACCACCAGTGGGTGGGTGGATGGGGGTAAAGGCTTGCTTTGGTGTGTCAGGGCCGAGCTTGTCCAGGGAGGAGTGTAAAGGCTCAGGGTTCACGTTGGTGACCTGGACACCAGAGGCTGCTGAATGGGTCTTCCGCTGAGACCCTGGGAGACTGTCTCGGTAGAAGGGAGAGTCAAAGCCTCCTCGAGGACCCACTGGCTCGGCCTCCGCTGTAGTGATCTCAGACAGTTCTTTAGATATTGCCGCTGAAAAGGAGAAGAATGACAAGAGAAACCCCAGTAAACACTCAGTCTGGGGCTGCATGCTGCCACATGCTAGTGCCACCCAAGCAGGGGAATGCGGCACCCTTTACCCAGCAGAGGTCCTAGAACGTAACACCCACCCTTTCCCCACAGGAAGAACAATGAAGCAAGTCCACGAGGGTTGACACTAAAGCCCAGTTTATAAGCAGAACAAGGGTCAAGTTTTATCCTTTCACTGTAATCACAAGCATATTACCTTCTTCTTTATCTTTTTCAAGACTATCTTCTTCAGAGGCCAGATCACCTAAAAATGCTGGAAGGTCACTCAGAGGGACAGAACCTTTGCTGCCAGGTAGCTCTTCTAAAAAGAAACAATGACAACTCAAGTCAAAGAAATACACTGTAATCCCTGTCAGGATAAAAGTGCTTACACTGTAACAAACTCTGTAACAAACTCTGTAATCATTCCAGAACTGAACTGACTCTCTCCTGGGGCTAATACAAAAGGCAAGAGAGTGTAAGTAATCTAATTAAAGGTACCAAATATAACCCCACAAAACATAATTCTTAGGTCTTAATGTTCAAAGAACAGATAAAACCAACTGTGTAAGCTGACTAGCCCAAGATGGCTACAAGTAATTCGTGGCAAGCTTAAAAGCTCTTTTGATATGATTATTAGAGTGGCTTTTAGTATTTCCTACTTATTTTATTATTTCTAGGATGCAGTGTTTAGTGGCATTCCAGAATTTGTTTTCATTCAACATTTTTTTTAAAAAAATTCTTTATTTAATTTTACTTATTACTTTTGTTTCTAATTTCATCAGAGAGACAGAGAGCAAGAGAAAGGGAAAGTGAGAAAACAAGCCACCAGGTCCAGGACTCGAACCACAATTGGCCATGTTGGAGTCCAGTGCCTTAACCATCATGCCACCCACCAGCCCCCGTTTTCATTCAACTTTGCTTTTAAACAGATATGATCCAATTAGAAGAGATAAGCGAGGCCTAGGGTTACCCAGAGATTTTACCTAATCCTTTGTCGTTTGGAAGGTGTGGTTGCCGGTGTAGACATGGCCTTGTAGAATCTGTTCTCTCTTCCTGAAAAGGTAAGTACCATTTATGTCATGGGGCCAAACATGCTCTACGTATTCTCTAACATGCTATAAGGAGTTTAAAGGCTAACCCAGTAATTCCCAAACAATCTGATCTCTGAGAATCCTAAGAGTTTTCGTTTACATGTTTATATCTACTGATTGTTACTGGATTAGAAAATTAAAACTGAGAAACTAAAGCAGTATTTATTAACCCACTTAAAAATAACCACCCCATTAATATACTAATGTAAATAACGTACATCTTATAAAAAAAACTTTTTTTCCAAAACAAAAATAAATTCAGTGTAAAGAACAGAATTGTTTCCTATTTTTGCAATCTCTTTAATAGCTGGCTTAAGACAGCTAGTAGTCTCCGGCATTTGAATCGCGCTTCCGCCATCTTTCCAGCCTCAGTCAGATGGGCGCGGAGACCCTTCTGAAAGACGCCATGGATGCACAAGGAGAGCCCCAGGTCCAGTTCAAACTGGTGTTGGTCGGTGACGGTGGCACCGGGAAGACCACATTCGTGAAGCGGCACCTGACAGTACGTAGCCACGCTGGGTGTGGAGGTCCACCCGCCCGTCTTCCACAACAACAGAGGGCCCATCAAGTTCAACGTGTGGGGCACGGTGGCGAGAAGTTCGGCAGGCTGCGCAACGGCTACTACATCCGAGCCCAGTGTGCCACCATAATGTTCGATGTGACAACAAGGGTGACTAACAAGAATGTGCCTAACTGGCACAGAGATCTGGTCCTCGTGTGTGAGAACATCCCCACTATGCTGTGTGGCAACAAAGTGGACATCAAGGACAGGAAAGTGAAGGCAAAATTCATTGTCTTCTACCGAAAGAAGAACCTCCAGTACTATGATCTCTCTGCCAAGGGCAGCCACGGCTTTGAGAAGCCCTTCCTCTGGCTGCCAGGAAGCTCACTGGGGACCCCAGCTTGGAGTTCATCGCCATGTCCGCGCTCGCCCCGCCAGAGGTGGCCATGGATCCGGCCCGGGTCACACAGTATGAGCACAACCTGGAGGTTGCTCAGACAACCGCTCTCCCAGACGAGGATGATGACCTGTGAGATTGACGCTGGAGTCCCACGTCAGAAGCCTAGTTTTAGAGGCGACTGTCCTGTGACATCTGCAGTGCAGTGTGTATGCCACTTGTTACTAGCTTAGCAGAACATTTGCTTCATCTTTGGGATGCTGAAGGAGACGAATGGGCTTCGGAGTGAATGCAGCAGTTAAACAAAACCTTCATTTTTGGACCTTCATATTTAGCTATTTTGGAATGCAACTCTTTCCTTATTGAGTTTCAAATAGAAGACTGCTACCGTCACATCCCAATACTCAGTGGCGAAACCTTGTTTGTCATTCCCATTCCTTTCGTTTAGAGTCAGAATGAAGTTGTATTTCAAATATCTAAGCAGACACGCTCATCCCTTGTCTGTAAGCATCTAAGAGCCACGAAGAGAGAAACTTATGCCATGTCAACACTTAAATTGCCTTTGCTATTCTTAATTTGAAATCTATTAGGTAGTTCTTCCTTGTCTTTTTTAAATTTTTTTTTGGGGGGGGCTTTGAATCTTGTCACTCAAATCAAATGTGTCAGGTCAATAGGATATTCTGTTTCTTCGAGGTGTAAATGTCAGTGTAGTTAAGCTAAAATAATACCTGCTTCACATTCATCTTGGCTAAGTGTAGTGTCACCCGGAGGAGAGCTTGTTCAAAGTCTGTGATTTGTCGAGTTAAAAAATAAGTGGTTTGCACATATCATAGAGATACTTTAAGGATTATAGCTGCTTTTATTTTATAGCAAAGGTAACCATGTTTTAATGTAGAACTTCAAAAGTCAGATGAAACAACTGATGGCAGCTTGAGGGAAGTACTGCCTATTAAAAGATGAGTATAAATTCTGCACTTGCTCCTGTTTCAATGTTAGATGTACGATGTGAAGTTGATATTATGGAAGATGTTCATGCTTACTTACGGCTTTCAAATGTTCCCAAGCTTTAAAGATATCTTGAAGATTAAGGATTTAAGCTGGACACACTATATAGCTTTTGGTTTTCTATCAAAGTATGTTTGCAGACGGTACAAGTAAGGGAGACAAGAACACTAGGGGTACTGTGACAACGGGAAAGTGAAACGGGCCTCAACTGGGCTTGCGGAACTGTCAGATTAACCTATAATTAACTGCAGTGAATTAGGTTGCCTGAGGAGTTTGTTCCATCAGCTCTACTATAGCAGTTAGGAATCTCAGAAACGAGAGCTATTTTTCTTAAGCGTCACTTTAGTCCAATTTACCGAAGTTTTTTTTAGATGTGTGGCTCTCTTTAGAAGATTACTTTCCTACCTTGAAGGCAGGAAGGGTCACTTAAGTATATGGAAAAGTGAAACAGAAAGGGTGAAACAACTAAATTCAATGTAGCTACTATATAAACTGGCACCAATGCAGACCTGAGTCTTGGCTCTGTCCGAACCCAAACGGAATGGCCTGTGTAAAATGTGAAGTTTCTTCCCATGACTGGGATGAAACCTTTCAGATGTTTTAAGATGTACGTGTTGTGTGCAACCTTGGGTAGAAAACAAGTATGGTGTGGACATTCTGATCTTAACCTGTAACAGTCCAGCTGGAAGTTATCTGCTAACAAGGGTGGGAAAGATCTACAAGTCATTCATTGGAAGAAATAATTGTTGCAAAATATGTTGCTTCTACTTTGCCTGGAAAGAAAGAAAGAAAGAAAAAAAAGAAAAGAAAAGAAAAGAAAAGAAAAGAAAAGAAAAGAAAAGAAAAGAAAAGAAAAGAAAAGAAAAGAAAAGAAAAGAAAAGAAAGAAAAAAGAGAGAAAGACAGACGGCTAGCTGGGTCCTATCTGCCTCTACATACAGCCTGCTGCAATATGCTACTTAGCTACTAAAGAAAATCTGGGGCTCAAAGACAAGTGGCTCTGAAAAGCAGCATGTGTTAACAGACTTCCCAACTCATCAGGCTGGCCGTCTTCGTCTTTGCTGTTATACCCAAACGCGACAGGTGGCAGGTTCCTAAGAGGTGGTTACAGTGCTGGATCTGAAATCCCTAATGAACTGCTCATACTGTGTTAAGATCCATCGCTCTGCCTTGTGCTCTGAACATAGTTTTATGCACCGACATCCTATACTGAACACTTAGAAAATACTGGCCCTCTAAGTTATTCAATCTTCTAAATTTTGAAATACTTCATTATACAACAAAAGATTAACGAGCTTCCTAAAGCTTTTCAAACTTGTCATAAAAGTTCTGGGGAAGCTAGTAAGTCCTGCTGGCAGGTACAAATTTTTTTTTTTTTGGAGAGGTTTTTGCTATAGGGCACATGCACTTGCCAGAAAGACAGAGACAGAGAGACAGAAAGCACGAAAGCCCCCCTCGGGGGGATATCCACGCTGCAATCCTTTCTCCTCCATTCTCCTCTCAGGATCTTGGGTACGCACGCACACGCACCCGGCGTGAGTTTAAGCCACCGGGTCCAGGGTTTGAACTGCGGGTCAGCTACATGGGAGTTTAGCAACATAGCCATTACACTAACTGCTGGTTCCAGATGCAAATATTTTTTATTTTCTTTCTTTCTTTTTAATCTGCTAGAGGGCATATGCACTTACGAGAGAGAGAGAAAGAGAGAAGACCCACTGGGAGTTCGAGGATGCACGCACACACGCTCAGTGTTCTTTTCAAGCCGCCAGGGTTGGGATTCAAGCTGTGGTCAGCCATGTGAGATCTGACTCTCTATACACTGCTGCTTTCCTATTTAAAGAGGGATTTCTGCTATAGGGAGCGTGTTCCCACCAAAGAGACAGAGAGAGACAGAAAGCGAGAAATCATCCCCTAGGCGGGATGTCATGCAGCAATCCCTTGTCCTCCATTCTCCTCTCAGGATTTTGGGCATACTCGCACACATGCCTGATGTGAGTTTTAAGCTGTCAGGTCCAGGACCTGAACCGCAGTCAACTACATGAGCGCCTAGCAACTTAACCATAATGCCATCTGCTGGTCCCACCCCAAGCACAGCTCCTTATCTTTTTCCTTGTAACTACGGTAGAAAGATTTTTGTTTGTCTTTTCTTTTTTTTTTTTGGGGGGGGAGAGGTTTTTGCTATAAGGTGCATGTGCTTGCCAGAAAGAAAGAGACAAAAAGTGAGAAATCACCCCCTAGGAAGGGTGGTCATGCCACAATCCCTTCTCCTCTATTCTTCTCTCAGGACCTTGGGCATGTACGCACATGTGCCCAGTGTGAGTTTAAGCCACCGGGTCCGGGACTCGAACCATGGTAGAGTCCAGTGACATAGCCATTACGCCATCTGCTGGTCCCCATGCACAGCTCTGAAGTGTTGTGCTAGGGGGCCAGCCTGATACAAGTGTTTTAATATCCTAATTTTCACCTAAAAGTTGAATTTAATACTGATAACGAATATCATCAGTTGTTTATCTTGAATTGAAAGACTCAGTTTATCACTTAAGAAACCACCTAAGGGCGGCCCATGGCCTAACAGTTAAGGGAGCCAGATGTAACACAGCCGACTGTGATTCAAATCTCACCCTGGAGGCTTGAAAAACATGCTGGGGTGCATGCATGCCTGAAATCCCAACAGGATGGAGATGTGGAAAATAAGGGACTGTGGTGTGGCCCCATGCCTTCACGGGGGTACACTCTCTGCCACTTCCTATCTCTCTCTGGAGAGCAGGTGAGTCCTCTGGAAACTTAAAAAAGAAGAGAAAGAAAAGAAAAAGAGAAATTGCCTGCTAAATATCCAAGTCTGAATAACCAGTCTGCCAGTTACTTAGTCCGTCGGGTGAAAACAGAGCTCCTGAAGGTAAGCAGCAAGGCTAGCACTCAACCCCACTCTAACAAGGGCCTGGGGTTACCATCATGCTTAGGAATGCAGGAGGTATACTTTATGCATACTCCCATTTTGCCACAACAAAATTAGTAATTTCTAGTACTTACTACAGAACATTCATAAGAACATTACTATTACTTTTTGTAAACTGAACAAACCGTCCAGGAAGAATACAATGCCTACTAGGACAGCTTGGTGCCTGCTCTGAATAGGCAACAGTGCCCATTTGATCCACCACTGCTTTTGTACCACAGTGCAAATGCCACTGCAGAGGAGGGGCAGACGCAGGTTAGCCCTGCTATGAACACAGGTCTGACCTATCACACTCCGCACTCCGCCAAAGGGTTTCCGGACCCTCAGGGTAAGCAGATCGCACTTGGAGAGCTGCTGGTTAGTCTGTTTTCAACTGTGCTGGCCCACTGCATTTTAGGTCAGAATTCTGTCACAACTAGGCTTCACAAAGTGAGGTTTGCATGGGAATCCTTGTGCCCGAGCAGCGGGAGAGGTGAGCTGGCACGTACCTTCCTGGAGGGCGTGGCGATGGCCTGGGGCAGTGAAATGTGCACGTAGTCATCTGAATGGCAGACTGGGACTGGAGGGGGAGAGGTTGCTGGGGTTCCCAAAGGAGTTCCTTTTCCACCTGCTCATAGACAAGGGCAGAACAGCATCTGAACACTGAGCCCAATGAAGAAAACAACTTGCTCGCTTGTTTTCAGCCCAACTCTTACTCTCGACAGAGCTGCTACAGTAAAGCTTCTGGGGACCTAGATCTCTCTCTTCATTTTTTAGTTCACTTTCCATGTTCTAAAGCCCCAGAGTTCACATTAAGTTTCCAAACAGGTTTACTGTAAGTAACCCCTGAACTCACTAACAGATTTAAGCAACAGTTAAAAGGCAGGCCCAAATCAACCAATTGAATCCAACCTCAGACGTACATACCAGCTGTACCAAAGACTTTACTGTAGGGGTGTGATAAATCAGGTGGGACATTTCCAGGAGAAGTTGGAGGGGTGGTCATACCACAAACCATCGATGGGCTCCAGAGAGTAGCCTAGGAAGTTAATGAAGAACATCAACAGTGAAGACCAAGACACCCACGAGGTTTATTTCCAGGGCTGTTACATTTACAGTTGGCCTTTTCAGCTGGAGAAAGGTATCTCTTTAAAGGTTTATCAAGAGAACAGGTGCATTTTTGCAAGCCTACATGCCAAGATGAACCCACACAAGAGTAACGCTCTTTGCTAGCGTCACGAATACTTCATAGCAAGCCCTGAAATGAGCATGTGGAACTTCCCCACCACAGACTACGTCCTGACCAGGTCAGCTTCAGTGCTAGCAGAGGACAGAGGGCAGGCGCTATCAGACTCCGTACTTGTGGCGGCTCAGCTGCTAGCCGTGTAGAGGGGGAGCTCAGAGTCTGAGGTAGCTGCCCTGGCGCAGTTGACGTCAGCCGAGAGGTGGAGTACGGGGTAGAAGTAGCACTCCCTAGGAGGAAAGAGAAGAACACGGGGTGTTAGTGAGCTTTCGGAGAATTCTCAGCAAACCCACAGTCCTCCAGACTACTTGACAGTATTCCGTTCTCTACATGGTGGGTCTCTGAAAATTTGTGAAAAATACTTATGAAAAAACTGGATTTCAAATTTTTGTACCAAAATAAACTCTTAACTTCAATTTTTCCATGAACTTTTTGAAGTCCTTTGATACTTTACACATCTGAAAGACTTCCCAACACCCTTAGTAGCAAAGTAACTTTAAAGGTTCTCTAAATGCTCTTGGGAAATAAGAGTTCGGCAAGGTCTGACATCAGGCTAAGCCTTCCCGTGAAAAGGCACCTGGGCGGCACCACCAGCGAAAAGAGCCGCAGGTAAAGCCTTATTTTCACACAGACCAGTTCCCATGTGTCCAGACTCTGCTGCCCTGTCGGCGTTACAGCCCAGAGGGCTACACTCTCCATGTCTGAAAAGCAGGCAAGTGCTCTTACTCCCTACAAGTAAGACCCTTGAACCCATTTTACGTGTTAAGTGTTGGCAGCACATCTCCAAATCTGCCAATACACATTACAGGTGTTTAGAAACTCATTAGAAGAAAAACAAAGGCAAATTCAAATTTCAACTATCTGGGGGAAAGTTCTAGGAACTAAGTCTTACTCTAAGGAAAGAAAGTCAAACAAGATAATGTGATCCAGAGACAACGTTATAAAACAGATAAGTACCAAATTCACTTTTTTACCATAGCTATTCTGTGTGTCAGCATAAGGGCTGGCGGTGACATCAGCTGAACGATGAGGAAAGCGGGCCGAGATCTGATGAGACACAGAATAGCCATCTTCATACGAGGCTTCCGTAGGGTCCAGAGATATTTTGGCACACTCTATTACAACATCATGAGTTTCTAATCTCTTCCACCTGTAAAAGGCAATGGAAGTCGTCAAGACAGGTAAACTCTAATCTATACAATCAAATCAATTAAACACTTAAGACTGCCAACTCCGCACTGGCCACAGAGCCGTTCAGTTCAAAGAACGAAGCAGAACCACGTCAGCCCAAGTCTGAAACGGTCTCAGTGCATGCAGAACTAGCCATTTGTTCTACGAACCTACACTCTCCTATTTAAAATGCTTATATTAACAGAAACTAATTTGAAACAAAAATCCCATCAACAAAAGCCCAGGCACAGAGCAGCCACCAGGGGAAAATCTTTGGAACAAAGGTAATCAAAGAACAGGGAGACCTGGAAACTGCCGGGCAGGTGAGGCTGACACAAGGTTTCCTATCAAAGCCCGATTCTTTTTTTTTGAGAGTTTTTTTTGTTGTTGTTACAGGGCACCTGCTTGCCAGAAAGACAGAGAAACAGAAAGCGGGAAATCAAATCATCCCCTGGGGGTATGGCCATGCCACAATCCCTTCTCCTCCATTCTCCTCTCGGGATCTTGGACATGCACCTGGCATGAATTTAAGCCACTGGGTTCGGGACTCAAACCACAGTCGGCTACATGGGAGTCCAGCAACATAACCATTACGCCAACTGCTGATCCCTCAAAGCCTGATTCTAACCCATCCCTGGAACAGAAATACCACACAGAGGGGCAGGCAGGTGGTGTGGTGGTTAAGGACGCTGGACTCCCACATGGCCAACCGTGGTTCGAATCCCGGACCTGGCGACTTTCTCTCTCTCTCTCTCTCTCTCTCTCTGTCTCATCCACTCTGTCTCTCCCTGGTTGAATTAAAATAAATAAATAAAGTTAAATAATTTTTTAAAAGAAAAAAAAAAAAGAAAAGAAATACCACGCAGAAAAACTCAAACCAGAAGATGACTGTGTAGCTATTTTTCAAATTGTCTAAGGATTCCTGTTATGTAGGCCACAATTCCACTTTTAACAATTCACCCTACACATACATCAAGACATAGGACAGCATTCAGCACAGCACAGCCAGTAATGGGAAAAAAAAAAAAAAAAAGAAATATACCAAAGTCCAACCAAAGGGACAGATTCTACAGAAGAAATTTTGTTATACCACCATGAAAAAGCACACCTGGAACAGATCAGTGGTTACTAGGAGTGGGTAGAAGAGGCAGAGGAGACTGGTCCCGATGGGCATGACGGAACTTTTTAGGGCAATGAAAATATTCTTTATCATGAATGCAACTTTTGTTGAAAGTGAGCAAAACTATTTAACTATATGTAAATTAAACTACACTAAAATTTATTTTAAAAATCATGTTTTTTGGGTACCAACAGATGGCACAATGGTTACGTTGCTGGACTCTCACATAGTCGATTGTGGTTTGAGTCCCAGAACAGACCCAGTGGTTCAAATCTTATACTGGGCGCATGTATCTGTGCCCCAAATCCCAAGAGGAGAACGGAGGAGAGGGGATTGCAGCGAGGCCATATCCCCCAGGGGGTGATTTCTTGCTTTCTGTCTCTCTCTGTCTCTCTGGTAAGTACATGTATCCTGCAGCAAAAATCTCTTAAAAAAAAAAAAAAAAGTCATGCTTTCAAATATAAAATGACATAAAATGCTCAGAATATAATCTTAAAAGTAAAAGGGCTACAGAATTATTGAGACACTCCCACAACAGAGAGATCTGAATGCACTAAGTATTCAATTACAATGTTCTACAAAGGCCCTAACGATTCACAGAACACTTAAAATGTGAGTGCCTGCTCAAGTGTATTTTCTTCTACACAACATAACATTGCGATGTGTGTTTCTAAGTGTTGGTAACTCCCTCAGAGATTCTCATCTACTATTCCAAAGTTTACAGAGAACGGCGATGCTAAGGACACTGGGTTCATCCTAATAAAACATGTGATCCTACACAATTGTTGTGGAATGCTCATTAAACCTAGATGCTGAAAATGTGGTATTATGAGGGTATGGGGGGAAGGTAAGGCAGCTGCCCTTGGGGCTAGCCCCACAACTCTTCAGGGCAGCATCTCTGTTCACCACCCAGCTTCTCCCTGGCTGTGGTACGTGTGCTGTGGGGGTAGACTCCTCTTTAGGCATTCTCAACACAACTGGAAAATGAGTGCAAGAGTTAGAACACATATGTATATGTAAGAAGACTGATTTCAGAGAAGAAAATGAGTCAAAATACAGTGAGAATACTTTTAAATGTTTTATTTTAATCAAAGTAATACGTATGGATCTAGAATACATTTTCTTCTATTTACAATACTTTCTGGATTCTCTCTCTCTCTTTTTTTTTTTTTTTATAGCATCTGTTTTTTTAATATTTTTTATTTAAATTTTTTTTATATAGTCAATCAAATATCTC